CTTGGAGAATTGATTTACTAAAAGGAATTAACTGAAACTGAGATATCCAGAAAAGGCATGGCATGTGGAAATAGACAAATTTACCCGCGTGAACTAAATAAAGGTTTCGATTCGAAATTCCAATGTATATCAACGGAAGAAGACCGGAGCGTATAACGGGCGAAACATTGTGAATATGACAATAAAGATGAGGATAACAGCCTGAACAATGTAAATAGTGTAAATCGACATATTTTCCATTGACGAGAAAAGGCCACTTTTCGAGCAAAATTTCATGGACACGTTGTTGCTACTGGAAATATAAATGTGCATTTTATATTTTAAGAGATATAAATGAACAATATCCAGAAGTTCCTGCTACATTTCATTACATGGAACTCAGCTACTGGAATCGGTTTTGGTGATTTATCCTTGCGCATTTGTATTGAAGAATGTCGTAAGTAACTTAGTCCTGATCATTAATTATCGCTCAATGTGTAAACCCAATTTTCATACAAGTTTCTCTATTGAATTAAAATGCTATGAGTATTTTCTTTCTGTCTTTTTTCAATTGTTACAAGCGGCTTTTATTGATCATCAGTGATGAATTCTTTTGACAAAGACATTTATAGTTTCCTTGCACGAGTTTCAAACATGAACGATATGGAGTATTTTAAAAATAGAATCAATAATAATAATAATAATAATAATAATAATAATGTGACCCATGGGAACATCAACAATCCCCATTGTAGTTGGAGCCCTCGGATTGGACAGAAAAGGTTCCAGTAGACTAATTGAAAGGATTCCTGGAAGCCCATGCCTTAAAGAAATACAAAAAATTGTTCTCACGAGTACAGCCCACAACTTACGAAGGGCTTTGTCTATGTAATTTCTTTTTTTGTTTGTTTTTCTTTTTTGTCAGTGGCAAATGTCATAATGCCATTTCTAGCCTTAGGTCCCGGGGCAGGACCCGGAAAGAAATCAGTACACATCAGAAATCAAAGGAAATAATAATAATAATAATAATAATAATAATAATAATATAATAATAATAATTGAAGGGATCCCTGGACTAATTGAAGGGATCCCTGGAAGCCCATGCCTTAAAGAAATACAAAAATTGTTCTCACAAGTACAGCCCACACCTTACGAAAGCTGTATCTATGTAAAATATGTTTTCTTTTTTCCAAACTATTCAGTGGAAAATATCATGATGTCATTTCTGGCCTTAGGTCTCTGGTCAGAAACCGGAAAGAAATGAGTCTACACCAGAAGTCGAAGGAAAAAAATTAATAATAAACAACGGTGTATTCAAAAACTTACAATGTGTGGTAAAACATATCAACAATCTTTTATTTTACTTCCATAAATGATTTTACTGGAAGACTATCGATAGCTAGCTGGAAGCACATCCTACGTAGGGCGGTATTTTAAACTATATTTTGTAGATAATATAGATATGAAGATATGACAAATACTTACAAAATTTGCATTGCACAGTGACTTAATGAGATAACAATTGCGCAACCTACAGAATCCAATTAACTGAAATTCGAAATCCTTTGAAAGTGTTGATACAAAGACAATAATCTCTAGCGTACAGAAATTTGATGAATTCTGTCTCCTCTGTTCAAACAAAGCGGATAATGGCGAGGCAAGAAAGAACCGGTATTTAATTTAAAACTCACTCAATCCTAAAACAAGAAAACATTGATCTTTTCTGGTATTTTCTTTTTTTTCCTTTTTTACTTAATCCGTCCATTTTCATATACGCCTACACCTGAGCCGGTTTGAAACGGAATTAAAAATGGAGCCAATTGTGATATCAATTGTTAAAGCCAGACACTCATCTCATGGTTACCGTATATTTCAAACATAATAACTCCACAAGAATGAATATAGACCTAAAGCTGAGAACGTTACTTAAAAGTAGTAAAAAAAAAAGTTGTTGGACACAATACAACAACGAAATTCCAATGTTTGCACTAATATTTTCTTATTTTATTTTTTTTACTACTTATTTCTTAAAAACTCTTCACAACTATACTTAGTTGCCTCCCCTTAAACGGGGTCAGCGATCACGCACTGATTAGCATTCATCACTCCACAAGTAAAAAAAAATTAACTTTCATATGAACACAAAAATAATGTCATCGAAAATAATGAACACTATAATATTTGTTTAGCAACAAACAATACCGTGATGATGACATTGTGCTATGTCGAAAGTACTCGGATTAAAAGAAATATGTATCAACACGACGATTTGCTCTCTTCCTTCGATAACGACACCAAAAAGCATATCCATAAATATGAAAGAATCCGATTGAAAATAAGTAGACAGATCATATCTAAATTATTCAACGAAACATGTCTCAATATATATATATATATATATATATATATATATATATATATATATATATATATGAGAGAGAGAGAGAGTTCAGACAGTTTCATGTTACTGTAATCGTCAAGTGATCATTTTGGTTGACTAACGATCGAGGTATAGTGTTCCCAACCTTTTCTTAATCGTGATGCTGAGAAGTATATTTACTCTGTCTTGGCAATTGAAACATAGATCACTCTTTATTAAATTTTACTGTGGCTATCATTTTTCTTAGTTTATATATCCTTTCCCCTTTTACTTCTATCAGCTTTTATCAATGCCCTGGGTTTTCTGATATATATATATATATATATATATTAAGAATTTTTTATGTTTATACGTTCTTTTTTGTAGAGACAGATAATTAAGTAAATGCTCTGCTCATAATAAACAGTATTAACGACATTTACCGTCCTGAATGTCCAAGAAATTTTCATAGGAAAAATGCGTCCTTCGACAAGAAGCGAACCTGTATCCTATACGGAAGCGTCATATAGCTTGACGTGTTTATACCGATATAGCTACAGAAGAGTGATTAGGTTAGCAAGGTCGATTTTACTGTTTTTAAACTACAATTCTCCATGATTTTCTCTCGTAATTTCATAACTGCTCGATGCGTATTCAAATGTAAACAAATGACGTCACACATAAAAAAATGTCTTAAAATAATTGTGGGACTTTATCCATTTCATATATATATATATATATATATATATTCCGGAATTGTGTATGTGGCCAGGCATGTGGTTTTACATACAAAATTCCGTAAAATCCTTGTTGAAAACACGACTATACGTAAACATGAAAACAATAAAAAAAAATAAAAATTCTTGAAGCTATATACATAAAACAGTTGAAACCTAACCTAAAGAAAATAAATTATAAAAAATGTAAATAAAGAATAAAAAAAAGATATTTCAAAATATAAACTAAATATAAAATAAGTATTATAAATAAAATGAGATATAGATATTAATATATATTATTCAATTATGACATACATACATGCATATATATATAGATATATATACATACATACATATATATATATATATATATGCATACATATATATATATGCATATATATATATATATATATATATATATATATATATATATAACCTAACCTGAACAAAATAAACTCACAAATATTCTTAAATGCCTATAATTTATAACAGAAGCCATTGGTTTATATCAACGGCTTCCCATACTTAATACTTCTCGTTTTCACTCTCGCGTGGTCATGTGTGATGTCATGAGCTGCGGTGCGATTTTCGCTTCCAGCGTCTTATATGCATGAGTTTGTTGTTGTTTGGAAATCTTCCATGTAAACAGAAACAGACTATCATCACTATCTTTTCCGTGTATTGCTTAATATAATGTAATGTAATTGTCATCTTTGATAATGGCTTATGTAAGCCGAAAGCTTAGATACGATTAAAAAAGATGTATCAATATTGTGATTTTCTTTCTTCGTTTAATGATAATGTTATTAAGCTTATCAGACGATAAGAAAAGAATTTACATAAAATAAATAGACAACTCTTGTCCATATTATTTAATGAAACATGTATCAATATATATATATATATATATATATATATATATATATATATATATATATATATATATATACACAAGTACTGGATTGGTGTATACGGAATAAATTCTCATAATCAAAAATACATTTCTTAAAAGAGTGCTCAATACATAGAACAGCAAATATTATTCATTCAAAAATTTTAACATCACTACAAAAATAGCCATTTATTTCTACGCTTCAAGTGATAGTGTTGTATGTGGTTGAAACAAAATGGCTATGTTTATTTTAAAATTTTATATAATATATATATATATATATATATATATATATATATTGAGTTCTACCTGGATCCTTCCTCTTGGAAAAATTTTTTTCTGAAAATATACATGTATGGAAATTTTTTTAGATATATATTTTTCATATGTATGTATATTTTCCACTAATATTATCTATATATATATATATATATAACCGTTTCCTGGACAGAGTAAGGTTTGTCTGTAAAAACCATTTTTATTTTGTGTATATATATATATAAGTTCATATATAGATAGATATAAATATATGTATATACAAGTTTATATATATATATATATATATATATATATATATATATATATATATATATATATATATATATATACAGGATGTCCATAAGTTCAGGTGCAATCTGAAATGTTCGTACTGGAGCTTCCAAGCTGAATGCCAAGCAGTACAGTTTTCTGGCAGAGTGAATTGCGTCATGGTGTTCTTTTTTTTTTTCACAGACTACTTTAATGTACAGTCGACAAAATCAAAAACAACCAAAGCGCATGCGCGAAATTACAAATATATATGGACGTTAATTTATCCATCCGATGCTGTATATGAACAGAACTTTTCGACGCGAAACTCATGTCTTCGCAAATCAGACAAATGACTTGAATATTTCTAGAATAATTTAACATAAATGGTGTCCATAAACTTCGTGTTTGCTTTAAAAAATGTATAACTTTATTTTTATATGCGATAGAAATAATCTGTAAAAAAATGTTATAAAGTTTAATGAACCTAGTTTTAAGTATAGCTAAAATAACTAATGTGATTTCAGGCATTACTGTAAATCAGTTGGCAAATGTTTTCTGTGAACTGCAAAATCGTATTACCCTTTGTCTTGCTAATGATGGAGGACATATGGAAACTTAAATAAAATTTCAATAAAACCTTAAAAAAATATGGATTTACTTCTTTCTAATCATTTTTACAAATTATTTCTATCACAAATACAAATAAAGTTATAATTTTTTAAAGAGCACACCAACTTTATGGACACGCCGTATATATATATATATATATATATATATATATATATATATATATATATATATATAGATAGATAGATAGATACATACATACATACATACATACATGCATACATATTTAATATATTGATTGTCAACTGTTACTTCTGTAGTAAAATATATTAGGGTTTACGGAAAATGATTGGTTTGATACGATTTCTGTGGCGTTTTACATTCTGATAAGCATAGCCTCATTGGATCCTGAAAGTCTATTGACAATTTTCTGCCAAAGAAATCATCTTTATAGTAATGCACAACTTAAATAATCTCTCTTAGCTTACCACTCCTAATTTCTACTTTAATATATGAATTCGTTCGAAACACGTTTTTCTTTCGATAGTTCTTCATATTTATTTGTCTTATTTTTCTGTCGGTTTGTCATTTTTTTATGCATGGCTAATTTCCAGAATAACAGCTCTTTACTAATCCTGGACAGAATGTTATAAGTGATTGAAGAATAAGTAAAGGTTTGATATCTGATAGAGAGAAAGAAAGAGAGAGAGAGGGGGGAGAGAGAATGATATTTGCTATTCTAAAAATACATGCTTCAGGGTTTCCCGTTAAGTAATGTCGGAAATGATGGATTGAAGATGATTCCAGATAGATAGATAGATAGATAGATAGATAGATAGATAGATAGATGGGAAGAAATAGCTGGCTAACTCGCTAGACAGATGGGAAAAACCGATAGATAGATAGATACATGGATAGACAGCTCGAGATAGAATGATAGCTGTCAAAAAACAGAGATAGATAGATAGATAGATAGATAGATAGATAGATAGATAGATAGATGAGTAGAATGGGATAGATAGATAGATAGATAGATAGATAGATAGATAGATAGATAGATAGATAAACAACTTATCATAGATACATACTTAGATATAAATACCTTGAGATAGACCTATCTATCTATCTATCTATCTATCTATCTATCTATCTATCTATCTATATATATATATATATATATATATATATATATATAGTTAAATTCCCAGATGAATTCTGTGGACAAGACAGATTGGTATCAAATGACAATTGGAAAAAAAAAACGCGTCGGCAAAATGTAAGATTTTTTTTTCCAATTGTCATTTGATACCATATATATATATATATATACATTTAAAAACAGACAATCGCAGAGATACAAAGACTAGCAGACAGAAGACTAATCCCAGTTAGACTGACAAACAGATAGATAGATAGATAGATAGATAGATAGATAGATAGATAGATAGATAGATAGATATAGATAGATAAACAGCTTATCATAGATACATACTTCGATTTAAATACCTTGAGATAGACCTATCTATCTATCTGTCTCTCTCTCTCTCTCTCTCTCTCTCTCTATCTATCTATCTATCTATATATATATATATATATATATATATATATATATATATATATATATACATTTAAAAACAGACAATCGCAGAGATAGAAAGACTAGCAGACAGAAGACTAATCCCGGTTAAACAGACAAACAGATAGATAGATAGATAGATAGATAGATAGATAGATAGATAGATAGATAGATAGACAGCTTATCACAGATACATACTTCGATTTAAATACCTTGAGATAGACCTATCTATATATCTGTCTATCTATCTATCTATCTATCTATCTCTCTCTCTCTCTCTCTCTCTCTCTATCTATCTATCTATCTATCTATCTATATATATATATATATATATATATATACACATTTAAAAACAGACAATCGCAGAGATAGAAAGACTAGCAGACAGAAGACTAATCCCGGTTAGACAGACAAACAGATAGATAGATAGATAGATAGATAGATAGATAGATAGATAGATAGATAGATCCTAAGGTAATTAAAAAGCGTCGTCTAATCCTTAGATTAACTTAAACGTGTTGAAAATATATGTTAAAGAGGAGATAAAGAAAAAGAATTTCAATTCTGTCAATGTCTTTGATCCCAAAACAATTCAGCGTTTATTTTTTTATTTTTTTTCCATACGTTTCTCTTATTCTTTTGTGTTTGCGCACTTTTTTTTTTTTCGTTTATTCGTGATGTTCTTGTTTTTTTTTTTTCCATTTCGTCTCAATCCACCACCGCCCCCCCCCCCACCGCAAACACCACCCGCACTTGTCAAGTCTGACTTTCGCATGCAGCAGAACCAGAGACTGTGGAAAAACACGTAGCGTCATTACATCAATATCTCCCCTTTCACACTCGGCTTTTTTATTTTTCCCCGCCCTCGACCCATTTCCATCTCTCTCAATCACCCTCTCTATCATATTTTTTATTCCCTCTTTACCCTCCCTATTTCTCTGAATCATTTAGTAAGGAGGACATTTATGTGCCGTGAATGCAGGATCATCACCACCGCCACTTACACCTTTTCTTGATTACAATTTTCTTAATTATCTGTCCCTGGGGAGTGTACGAATCATTTTTACCTTGTGTTTTTTCCCCCTTACTCATTTGTTTGGATATGTATGAATTCCCACTTAGGTGTCACGATCCTGGTCTTTCATCGGCTGTTTCTAGCCTATACTCACTTATTTTGCTATCATTTTAACTTGAGGCGATACAACCCCGAAGAATAGCGTAAGAAGAAAAAACCGATTGTTTTTTTTATAAAGCGCAGTTAATGAGAATCGAACTTGAAATCAAACAATTTTAATGAGCTCCTTATCCATGGCGAGCGAACAGAGAGATAGATAGATAGATAATGTAGGGATATTATTTTTATTATCATAAATAAATAAATCATACTAGAATATAAAGTGATAATAATAATAAATTAAATTATGTTATTAAAAAAAACAATAACATAAAACCTTTATATATATATATATATATATATATATATATATATATATATATATATATGTGAAAAGTGAATATAAATATCCAACCAAATATATACATATATATATATACATATATAGATAGAGAGAGAGAGAGAGAGAGACATCTAAAGAAATAGATAACTAGCTAAATAGATAGATGAATGTGAAAGACCGATAGATAAATGCATAGATATCTTGAGATAGATAGAATGACTGATGTGAAAAACAGATATATATATATATATATACATATGATATACATACATACATATATATATATATATATATATATATATACATGCATATATATATATATATGCATACATATATATATATATATATATATATATATATATATATATATATATATATAACCTAACCTGAACAAAATAAACTACGAAATCTCCACAAATATTCTTAAATGCCTATAACTGATAGCAGAAGAAACTGGTTTAAACCAATGGCTTCCCATATTTAATACTTCTCGTTTTCACTCTCGCGTGGTCATGTGTGACATCACAAGCTGCGATTCGATTTTCGCTTCCACGTCTCGTATACACGAGTTAGTCGTTGCTTTGTAAAACATACTATCATTATTGTTTCGTCCGTGTATTGGTTGATATATTGAAAAGTAATTTTCATCTTTTATAATGGCTTATGTAAGCCGAAAGCTTAGATTGGATTTAAACATGTATCAACATGTTGATTTCCCTTCGTCTTTCAATGATAATGTTATCAAGCTTATACGGCAATATGAAAGGAACTTTCTATATTATTTAATGAAGCATGCATCAATGAAAAATTGCTGGCTGAATATACACAATATATATATATATATATATATATTTTTGCAATGATAAAAGAACGGTGTCACAGGCGCGTAGGATACAGTAACACAGTTCCCAATGAAAAATTTATAGAAAAAAAGAGGCATATGGAAGATAAGAAACGATTCACCTAGTGGCGGTAAAAAATCCCATTGAAGGGACCAGAAAAAATGAATAAATTACATATAAGCGCTTTTTTGCACTAGTCACAAACGGAACTAGATAGATAGATAGATAGATAGATAGATAGATAGATAGGAATAAATTGAGATAGGAATAACCTGAGATAGATGGTAAGATAGATAAGAACAGGATTGAATAGATAGATAAATAGATAGATAGATAGATATTTACCGATTGATTGTTTGACAGATATGCAAAACTGAGGAATAGATATGTGCATATGTGCAAATTAATACAATATATATATATATATATATATATAATTATTTATTTAAAAATATGATTCCAACTCGCGACATAAGAGGTCTCAATATAATTTTGAACCCAAAAAACTTCGCTTGAAGATGGAACAGAGCTTACTTTAACTCAATTTAATTCGAATAAATATATTGAAGTTTTCGGCTCTTGTTTTGAAACATGAGACCTCTTATGTCGCGAGTTGGTATCATATTTTTAAATAAATAATTATATTTATGCTCTACTTTTGAATCGAGCACTATTTTTAAAAAATAATAACTAAAATACTAAGGAACTTTGGATTACTTACCTAACGAGTTCTTTCTTATTTTCTATATATTTTCACACACACACACACACACACACACACACACACACACACACACATATATATATATATATATATATATATAAAAGTAAACATTGAAGTCAACACCCAGAGGCGACTGGCTGTTTCATGCTGGACGCCATCGCCAGGACGCCTGATGATTTCGCCTAGCATGAAACAGCCTGTCGCCTCTGAGTTTTGACTTCAATGTTCACTTTTATATTTACATACGCTCTATCTCTCATATTGAGCACTTTATCCCATAAATACAGCTCACCTTAAAACTGTATTTCTTCATATATATATATATATATATATATATATATATATATATATATATATGTACAGAGAGGAAATAAATATTCGTACACATTCAAATGTTTAATTTATTGTATTTACAACTAATGAATAAACATACTTTTGATATAATTAACTGTACACAGATGCACAGTAACTAAATATGCATAGAAAACAGAAAATAAAATTATTTAATAGAAATAAGTTGTTTCTATTCATCTAATGGGTGAAAAAAGTAATCGTACAATGCAAATTCCAGATTTTAGATTATAAAACTTTTAAATTGCTTTAATACTATAATATTAGTTTATTAAAGTGGAATATTCTAGAACGTTCCAATAATGTTATCAGTCTTTTTCTGTAACCTAAAAATACAAACAGAACATTCTGTAATTGATATTTGTGCAAGAATGTTATCATTATGGCAAAAGGTAAAAAGTATTGAAATTTTCGGAAAGAACTGATTGTTAAGCTCTGGAAAGAAGGCAAAAGTTGCAGGATAATGTCAGACATCTTGAATATTGCATTTACTACCATTAGTTTATTCAGTTCAAGGTATTAAAAAAAATTAGAACTATTGGAAACCAAAAAATAACGGTTGCTCCACAGAAGATTTCTTCAAATTAATGCGTCAAATTAAACAAAATTCATTGGTTACTCATTAGGAGTTGCAGGATGATTTGCTTTGATCAGGAATCTGTGTCATTAAACGGACAATAAGCAATGAAATTCATCGGAGCAATTTAAATTCACGCTCACCTCGGAAAACTCCACTTTTATTGAAAAGACACAGAGATGCCAGGTTGAAATTCTTTAGTGAATATAAGGATAAGAAAAAATTGTAGTAGGAAGAAGTATTATGGACACCAATATTGAGTGGTTTGGATGTAATTCTAGAAATCGTATATGGAGGAATAATGGCGATGCTTTCAAACAAAAGAACACCGTTCCAACATTTGAAATTTGGTAGTGGTAGAATTATGGCTTGTGGATGTTTTTCTGCAAAATGTAATGGCAACATATCAGTAATGAAGGCCGCGGATATCAAAATATTTTGGAAGCAAATTTAATGATTTCGGTTGAAAGTCTTTAACTTCGTCCAGATTGTATTTTCCAACAAGATAATGATCCTAAGCACACGGCAAAACCTACGAAATGGCTTGCTGAAAATAAGGTAAATATCCTGAAATGGCCAAGTCAGTGCCCAGATTTAAACCCAATCGAGAATCTGTGGCGTTATTTCAAAATTCATATCCAATCGAGAGTTCCAAAAAACATCCTGGATCTGAACACAATATGCGATGAATAATGAAACAAAATACCAATTAAAATTTGTAAATCATTAATTGAGAAATACAAGAAGAGGTTGGTTGCTGTAGAAGTGAATAATGGCTATTCTACAAAGTATTAAATGGAGATTATATATTCATTTTTGTATTGTACGCATACTTTTTTTCATTTATTAGAATGGATAAATGGAATTTATTTCTATTAAATCATTTCTTTCTGTTTTCTATGTATATTTATTTATTATGCGTCTGTGTACAATTAAGTATATGAAAAGTATATTTATTCATTATTTGGAAATACAATAAATTAAAAATTTGTAAGTGTACGAATATTTTTTTTTTTCCGCACTGTATATAGAGAGAGAGGGAGGGAAGAAAAAAGAAACGAAAGAATCGATATAGGAAGCGCGAGAAACATGACATGGGCTATGATGGAAGCCTCGTTCTGGTATAATCTTCATCACTCTGGGCTTTGTTGATCATTTTTGTCGAGTTCGATTCGAATTAGGTTAAGTAAACCACAACAGAATTTACCCGCTTTTATGTCGCTGAAAACCTATGACCCACACAAAATAAATCGAATAAAACTTTCTTTTTCTTTTTTTTAACCCTTCTTTCCGACCTAATTCACACACTCCCAGACACTCATTTTCTGTTCTGCTCGATCTTTCTCTCTCTCTCTCTCTCTCTCTCTCTCTCTCTCTCTTTCTATCTTGTTTTAACGTTACAAAATAATACCGTTGACACATATTCATCTCACAAAGATTTTTTTTCGTCAATGCATTTAAGAATGGAAGAATGAAAACATTGAATCGACAAAAGTTACTATTTTAAGAGATTCTTTTCACTGATTTCTTTTACGCATGCGCATTCGTGTGTTTGTGTCTTGACATCATTAAACTGTTGAAATAACGTTACTGTTTCTTTTTATTTTATTTTAATGTTCTGCTTTTCATTTCTATTTTCTATTTATTTGTTATTACGTTTTTATATAATTATCAGTCGACCGTCGTCGGGATTATCGTGTCAATACGAACGATCCTTTCCTTAGCTAAATAGTTTGTGATTCTCCAGGGTTACATACGAATAATATTTGGATGTTGAAAATTATAATATATAGTATACAAATATATATTATAATTAGCCGCTTTCAAATGTCATATCTTTCCTTCCGGAGAATTAAATTGGCACCAAATACCGCAGAGTTTTAATTCTAAATATTGAAATTCAAAAACAATATATATATATATATATATATATATATATATATATATATATATATATATATATATATATATATTTATAATGAGTAAAATTTTATATCATTATTCGGACTTTTCAATTACCATATTTATTTTACAGGTGGTTGGAATGTCGAAATGAACCAGTGAGCGAAATCATTTCTATATCCATTATTCGGACTATTGTTCTTGTTAATAAATATGACGACAAAGATAAGGACAATAGTCCAAATAATTTAGTGTACATAAAATCCCAGAAATATTCTGAAGGGTGAAACTTTGTAATAAATACGACAAAGACGAGGACAATAGTCCAGGTTTAAATTGGAATGTCAGAAATATAGACAGAACCAAATCTTGTAACAGCAAAATACAATTGTTCAGTTCGCCCCATATTGCCTGCCTAAGAGTCGTGTTATATATATATATATATATATATATATATATATACAAAAAAAAAAAAAAAAAAAAAAATGTAACCTCATATAAGGACTTAAACTTAATGTTAAAATAATCCTACATAATATAATGGATTCTATACATTTAACTGTTCTTAAAAAGAATATAGTAAAATAAAAATTAAAGAGAAAAATATTTCAAATCGTAGTTAAATAAAAGTATTGTAAAAAATTTTTAATTTTAAAAGATGACGTTGAAAATTTTTTACGAGGGACAATTTTTTTTTTTTTTTTTTTTTAAAAATACGACATCCATTAAATAGTGTAAAATACAATACCTACCAAATGTAGCTAATATAGATACAATGACTTTCATAAGGAAAATCTTGTAACGTGTTCAAATAGAATATTCAATTGATTTTAGTATTTAAAACCCGGTAAATTTTAAGCCCCAAATTTCGCTTGAAGATGAAATAGAACTAATGCTTTTTAATTTATTTGCAAAAAATAAAATTAGGGTTTTAGCTTTTATTTTGAAACATGGTTGGAATAGCGAAAATAATATATTTTTAAATATATATATATATATATATATATATATATATAACACTAATCTCAGATTGTTCAACGGAGAATAAAATATATTTTAATTTTAAAAGGAAAAAAATATGCCTGAAGATGAATAAAGCATTATTCGAAAGTACTTGCATTTTAAAAAATATAAACTGGAAACAACAGACAACAGCTTTATAAATGAGGATCACATAATTCTATGGATTAACAGTATTTTAATGCATACATTATATACTACTAGCGATGGATATCGCCAACAATACCATTAATATTGCTGATTGATTCTATCCGTGATTATTTCTTTGTATATAATTTATATGCTGCCTAATGTTTTGTGTTTATAAAAAACTATCGATCCACAGTACAAAAAATTCCTATAAAAAACTACTACTAAGACATAACACTATATTAATTGAACTATATACTTAGTTTATGACATATTAACTGAAAACACTTGTAAAAATAGAATACGTGGATTTAGCACATCACAAGAAAAGTTCAAATAAAATTCTCACTTAAAATTTTGAAAAATTCAGCGTTGCGTCTTTGCACATTCCGATATTGTACACAACCGTTAATAATAGCAGATTCTCAAAAAAAAAATTGAAAAAAATACATCTTTTGGTCTACAAACAATTATTTCGTCTCCAAGTTTTAATTTTATAAGGAAAAAAATATGCCTGAGGATGAATAAAGGATTATTCGAAAGTACTTGCATTTTTAAAAAATATAAACTGGAAACAACCGACAAAAGCTTCATAAATGAGGATCACATCATTCTATGGATTAACAGTATTTTAATGCATACATTATATACAACTAGCGATGGATATCACCAATAATAGCATTAATATTGATGATTGATTCTATGTGTGATTATTTCTTTGTTTGTATATATATAATATATATTCTAATAAGTACCGCGCATATAATATATAAATAATTATACATATATATATTTATTTATATTTATATACACTTTCACACACACACACACACACACACACACACACACACACACACACACATATATATATATATATATATATATATATATATATATATATATATATATATGGTGGTGGTTTACCCTTGTTCTGTTTTTTTACTCTCCTCTTTCAGAGGGCTATTTCTCTTTACTGGGACTATAAAAGGACATTATACGCGAACCCTGTATTCTCAGCTTACTTACAGCCTACATCTGCGTACTTTTGTCATTCTTCTTTTTAATGTACCATGTCTTTTCAGAACGTGGGCGATCATGGCTCTTCATTCTTCTCTATTTCTTGCAGCTTTCAACAACTTCCTTCTCTCTGCTTCCTCGCCAAGACCCCGTTCTGTCATCCACTTGCTTAAGTCTGCCTGGTATCTCAAGCGTTGTTTTCCCTTGTCTCTCTTTCCCTCTATGCGACCCGTGAGTATCAGATTTTCCAGACCCACCTTCCTCAGTATGTTTCCCAGAAACTTTAGCTGCCTATTCCTGGTGTTAAGTGTTATCCTTCTCCTTGTTTATAAGTTCAACGTTGCTCACACGCTCGGTCTATGACATCCTTAGCATCCTTCTGTAGAACCACATCTCCGTCGCCTCGAGTCTCTCCTGCATCTTTGAGGAAATCGTCCAATACTTGCTGTCGTAAAGAAGGACAGCAGGTATATAATCTCCTCAGTTTCATTTAGATACTTTCTATTTTGAGAGTTTTATTTTATAGATATTTATATATATATATATATATATATATATATATATATGTGTGTGTGTATATATATATATATATATATGTGTGTGTGTGTGTGTATATATATATATATATATATATATATATATATATATATATATATATATATTCAGTCTATACGTCATTTAATAGATACTATTGATTTAAGTACATGCTCCGTTTTTTAAATAAACAATATTAACTACATTTAACGACCTGAATGTTCGTGAAATTTTCTAAAAAATATGCGTTTTTCGTAAAGACCGGACCTGTGTCCTATACGGAACTGTCAAATGATCTGACGTGGTCTACTATTTAGCTATAAAGAAGTTTTTTGATTAGTAAAATTCAAATTACTGTTTTTAAACAACAAATCTGCGAAGACCTTTCACGGTCTTTTGCTTTAACTGTGTGATATAGCACTCAGATCAATTGAGGCTTACGTATGGGATATAGATTCGATTCCTGTTAGAGAACGCATATTTTATACGAAATTTATTTAAAAACAGATCATTTACTTAAATAAACTGAATCGATTAAAATAACTTATAGACAGAAAATATTTTAAATTGATCTCGGACTTGATACATTTCTTATATATATATATATATATATATATATATATATATATATATATATATATATATATATTAATTTCAGAGTGCTCAACGGAAAATAAAACAATATAGATTCAACATATATAAAAATGATTTTTTTATACTTGAATTTTAACGATGTTTCTTTTGGCAGTTCCATAAATATATATCTGTGTGTGTGTGTGTGTGTGTGTGTGTGTGTGTGTGTGTGCTCCCGGAAATCCGGATGTGTGTAGGGAAAAAGATGTTTGTGTGTACATATTCTATTCACACAAATCTATCCTAAAAATGTTCTCTATTAAAAAATTGATGATATTAAAACAAAATAAACCAAAAAACCAAAGAATATTCTATTCACACAAATCTATCCTAAAAATGTTGTCGACATTAAATAACCCATTGAGGTTGATATGCCGTAAAACAAAAATAAACCAAACCAATTTAAACAAAGAATATATATTCCATTCATACGAATCTATCCTAAAAATATTGTCGACATTAAATAACCCATTGAGGTTGATATGCCGTAAAACAAAATAAACCAAACCAATCTAAACCAAAGAATACATATTCTATTCACACAAATCTATCCTAAAAATGTTGTCGACATTAAATAACCCATTGAGGTTGATATGCCGTAAAACAAAATAAACCAAACCAATCTAAACCAAAGAATTTATATTCTATTCATACGAATCTATCCTAAAAATATTGTCGACATTAAATAACCCATTAAGGTTAATATGCCGTAAAACAAAATAAACCAAACCAATCTAAACCAAAGAATACATATTCTATTCACACAAATCTATCCTAAAAATGTTGTCGACATTAAATAACTAATTGAGGTTGATATGCCTTAAAACAAAATAAACCAAACCAATCTAAACCAAAG